GAAGCTAATGAACCAGCGGCCGCAGTTATTCAACCAATTGAAGTCAAAGAAGGTCCGTCGCCATGGCGTTGCCACCTGCTATCGGTGCTCTGGGCCGAATCATTTTGCCAGAGACTGCCGCTATCAACGCGAAGAAATGCGCAGTGGGAAACGGAATGGGGGATACGACGTCAGCACCGGTCTCTTCCCTGCACCGAGCATGAAAGAGGCGCTCCCTGTGATTAAGGTACGCATCAATGGAATAATGCCATAGCCAAAAATGCCCGAATTTTCCTTCCCAAGGAGCAGATCAAAACCTAATAACGCGCTGTCCATGACCAACACACTGACTGTGACAGGGTCACCGTTGTTGATACTGAGTTTGATGTTTCCAACTCCCCGGCTTCTGAGAGCCTTTCCATCAGCCGTTAGTACGTCCATCTTTTGTCTGCTCCACTGTCAGCAAATCGAACCGTTCGTGAGTGACCAAGAGCAGCCCGATTATCTCTTTCACTACACTCCCCCCTGTCACATAAGTGACACTCATGGGCGGGCCTCTTTATTCTTAAGCTTCTCCGGAGGTAGGGCTAGCACCTTTTCAGATGATGAAGACTCTGCTCATGAGGTTGTCAGATCAGAAGAAACCTCAGAACATAACACACAATCTCCTCCAACAGTTGCCCCGCAACAACAACCTTTGAAATAAAGCTTAAACCTGAATGGTCAAAATGCAAAGTGAATATTATTAAGAAAATCTTAAAAATTAATTATTAAAAAAAAAAAAAAAAAAAAAAATCAATCCGAATGTTTGACACTATGTTTAATAGTTTCTCTGTGCAAATATCTTTTGATTGATTTGAGGGATCTGATTGGCTAAACTGAATTAGAAGCAGTGACCAAAGTTTATCTATCACTTTCAATTGAAAACGTGATTATAAAAAAATGCTAATATAATAGGTTGCCATGAGGTTAGGCATGAAGGCTCTTATGTATTTGCATTTGCTGACTAGTGACATTCCATCATCACCGAGTAGAACTTGAATTTTCATCTATCACGATGAACAGGTATTCTCTCAGGAAGGCCCCCATGCCAGGAGCACCTATCGGGATTTAAGCTCACCCCAGAACTTGTACATATGATCCATCACTAAGGATACTGGAAAAATGGTTGTTTCCCTGTACCACTCCAGTAAGTACCTGATTCCATTTGCTATCCTCTACCTTTACAAGAGTCAAATCAGGTTAAAAATGGAGTACTCCTGCCATATATGGGCTGGAGCTGCCCAGTCTTCACTTTCCAGTCCTGATAGAGTTGAAAAGTGTCAGATGAAATATTGCAAGCCTCTCAATACTCTGTATCTGTCGATATTTCAGAGATGAAGTATTATGTACACTATTTACATTATTCGGGGAGATTATATATATATATATATATATATATATATATATATATATATATACACCTGGCACAATGGCTAAAGGTGTTAGTTAGATCCAGTGACAGGACCCAAAGAGTGTGAGTTCAATACCTAGTTAAGGCGGTGGAGAACTTTGAGAGGGGAATTAACAGGAGATAACTGATAACTGACATACATTAGACATGGCACATGGAACTAAAACAGTCTACCCCAGTGAGCGAAATAAAGGGTTCAGTTTGACATTCCAACCACCTGAAGAAGGCCAGAGCGTACAATGGCTGAAATGTTGTGATAAATATGCCAACAAAGATGAGGACAATAGTCCAAATAATGTAAATAGTGTACTCTCAATACTCTATTGCTATTTTCATGGAAATTGTTCAGACTAATTACATTCCTTAGTTTCCCCATCTTTCTGTTATCAATGAACAGATTTGGACTCCCATGATTTTCTTCGTGATGTTCCTTGGAAAGAAGTTTTTAATCATCCTATTCAAAAATGTGCATCTGAGATCTCCTCCTGGCTGCAAGCCGGCATTGGTACTTTCATTCCAGCAAAGAGATACCAAGTTAAACTGTGTTTATCTCATTGGTCCTCACCTGCATGCTCAGCCACTATAGCCCACAGGAATCACTTCTTCTGGTTGTACCAGAGCAGCACATCTGATTGCAACAGACATCTCTTTTTCTCTGTTCATAATGAGTGCAAACGAGTCCTAAATGAAGCAAAGTTACTGTTTTCTAATAAAATAAAATAACATATAGCATCTAGCAAGTTCAGTTCAAGACATTATTGGCAGCTCTGCAAGTGTGTGTTGTACAACAGCAAATCCTCAATCCATTCCCTATTCAATCAATTTGAAGTCCTGACATCTACAGCAAATAAAGTGAAATGCTTTGCCCAGAAATTATCTTCCAGCTCAACACTCAACTCATCTGGAGTACCCACACCTGATTTCTCTACTAGAACTGAGGCTATACTGAGTGATATGCGCATAACCCAGTCATTGACCTTGGACATCATTTCTAAATTAGACTCCCATAAAGCAAGTGGTAGTGATGGGATGCCAGCTGTCATCCTAATGAAATCTGTTCCTGAGTTGGCTCCAGTTCTCTCCAAATTCTACTTCCTACTTTTTAGCATGTTGGAAGTCCTTCTCTGTAGTTCCTGTTTTTAAGAACTCTGGTGAACCTTCTGATCCCTCTAACTATTGCCCTATTAGTCTCCTACCACTTTTCGGCAGAGTATTCGAAGCTTTAATCAATATGGAAGTGGTTAATCATCTAACATCATGCTAACAGCCATCACTGAATATGTATATCAAACTCTTAATAATAATGGTGAAGCTCAAGTTGTGGTTCTAAGTATCTCAAAGGTATTTAACAGGTTTTGGCATGCTGGTCTTCTATGTAAGCTTCAGGGCTATGGTATTACAGGATGATTGCTTGATTTAATCCAATCATTCTTATCAAATTCTGAATAGGCTCACTTCCAGATCTTTTCACACAAACATGTGTGTGCCCCAAGGCTCTATCCTGGGTCCTACACTGTTTCTGATCTTCATCAATGATCTTCCTGATGTCATCAGTTCCCAAGGAGGCATTTATGCAGATGACACTACCATTTACTCCGGTTTCAATAGCAAATTCGTGAGAGCTGACAAAGTTAACCTGGTCAATGATTTTGAAAAGGACCTTCAATCAGTGGTTAACTGGGGTAGGAAATGGCTTGTAAATTTGAATGCCTCCCAAACTAAACTGCTCTCATTTAACCACCATAGAGAAACTTCCCTGCCTGCCATCAGCATGGCTGATGTTTGACTCAAGGAGAGCATTACACAGTGCTTCTTGGCTTCACATTTACAACTGACTTGTTGTGGAACAACTTCATTGAATCAATAGCTGCATCTACTGCAAGGAAAGTTGGTTCATTATGTTGTGTCAGAAGGTTTCTCTCATCAGAGTCCATCTTGCACATCTACAAATCTAACATTCATCCATACATTGAATACTGTTGCCATATATGGTTTGATGCTCCTGCTGTTCATCTCAAAGTTCTTGACAAAATTCAAAGAAGCATCTGCAATGTAATCAATCCTGACCAGGCATCTCGACTTCAGTCACTTTCTCACAGATGTGATGTGGCTTCCTTCTGTTTTTTCTACAAATATTTTTTGCGGAAACTGCTCTATTTTGAATTTAGGTGTGTTACTAGATTGACATCTAGGTCCTACCCCTTTACTGTTAAAATTATTAAATGTAACTGCCACTTCTACTCCAACAGTTTTACTCGCTCTTCCCAACAGTGGAACACCCTACTTCTTTTTTGCTTCCCTGATAGTGACAATCTTCAAAAATTTAAATACAACATCAATTACCATCTGTTATTTTTAACCCCCGTTCATCTTTTATCATTTCCTCAATCTCCCCTATACCCAGTCTTTTCTCTCAGTTTCACACTCTGTAATCCCCTGCATACTAGTGGCACCCTGCCTTGCTTGAGGTGAAATGATGAAAAAAAAAATTCTAACCTCCGCAGATAAGACCTGCCATGCCATGCCATGCACATTGTAACAAAGTGCCCTCATTCCATTTATATTCCATTGGTCAGATGTAAATTCCATTTGAACAGATTCTTCTCATGAACCACTACTTTGTGGAACTGACTCCCAAGAGGATGCTTCTGGGATCACTACAATCTTAACCTGTTCAAGTCTAGAGTTAACAGTTATCATCCCCCACATATCTCCATAAACTGTACCTCTTACATCTTACTCCATAACTCACTACCTTGAGTGGTTTTGGGGCCTTGTACAGAGTGAACATTATAGAAAATTTAGAAACATTATTTTCCATTGACAAAGACAGTGAAATAATCAAGTTCTGTTTGATATAAAAATAAATAAAACAAAAATATGGGTGGTAACAAAATAGCATCTACTGTTTTATAAAATTGCTATGATAAAAAATAGGGAGGAAGGAAACAAAGTGTAGTGGAGGAGGAGAATATGTTTGAATGCAAAAATTCACCCAAGAAGCAAATGCATTTCTTCTGTTTGGTTTATTTTCAGAATTATATTTGCCAAACAATTTTGAATCTTGTATAGCAGTTGAAGTGTGAATGTAACCCAAGGATTGTGTGAGTGACAATGAAATCAACTGAATGATTGATTAATTATGGTTTATTAGCCAGCCTGGGTCATCAGGAAGGCCAGTAAGAACAAATGTCACATGATAGAAGGTGATATTGTAATACAAAAAGGAAAAAACAAATAAGAAATGGGATGAAGTTTCTGTGACTTCAAGTTACAGGTTTTAAATTGGCCAATCAGTAACTAAAGTAGCAAAAAACATCTCAGAGGAGGATGAATAAATAAATAAAAGTTTTATATGATGCCAATCAGAGAGTGGGTTTATTACAGGGAGATTAAATTTTGAGAGAGCAAAATAGAAAAGAAAGGAAAAAATAAGAAGAAGATGGGAAAAAGAAAATTATAGTTTAAAAAATATATATGAGAGAGAGGAAAAGGAGAACAGGCAGAGAGTAAGAAAGACAGAGCAAAAAGAGTGAGAGAGAAAGAAAGAGAAAAAGGAGGCAGAGAGTTAGAGTGAGAGAAAAGGGGAAAAAAGGAGGCAGAGAGTGAGAGAAAAAGGGAAAAAAGAAGGCAGAGAGAGAAAAGGGAAAAAAGAAGGCAGAGAGAGAAAAAGGGAAAAAAGAAGGCAGAGAGAGAAAAAGGGAAAAAAGAAGGCAGAGAGAGAGAGAAAAAGGGAAAAAAGAAGGCAGAGAGAGAGAGAAAAAGGGAAAAAAGAAGGCAGAGAGAGAGAGAAAAAGAAAAAAAAGAAGGCAGAGAGAGAGAGAAAAAGGGAAAAAAGAAGGCAGAGAGAGAGAAAAAAGGGAAAAAAGAAGGCAGAGAGAGAGAGAAAAAGGGAAAAAAGAAGGCAGAGAGAGAGAAAAGGGAAAAAAGAAGGCAGAGAGAGAAAAAGGGAAAAAAGAAGGCAGAGAGAGAAAAAGGGAAAAAGAAGGCAGAGAGAGAAAAGGGAAAAAAAGAAGGCAGAGAGAGAAAAAGGAAAAAAAGAAGGCAGAGAGAGAGAGAAAAGGGAAAAAAAGAAGGCAGAGAGAGAGAGAAAAAAAGGGAAAAAGAAGGCAGAGAGAGAGAGAAAAAAGGGAAAAAAAGAAGGCAGAGAGAGAAAAAGGGAAAAAGAAGGCAGAGAGAGAGAAAAAGGGGAAAAAAAGAAGGCAGAGAGAGAGAAAGGGAAAAAAGAAGGCAGAGAGAGAGAAAAAAGAAGGCAGAGAGAGAGAGAGAAAAAGGGAAAAAAGAAGGCAGAGAGAGAGAGAGAGAGAGAAAAAGGGAAAAAAGAAGGCAGAGAAAAAGGGAAAAAAGAGGCAAAGAGAGAGTGAGAGGGGGAGCGAGAAAGTGTGAGAGGGGTGAGAGAGATAAAGTGTGATAGGGGAGAGAGAGATACAGTGTGAGAGGGGGAGAGAGAGATACAGTGTGAGAGGGGGAGAGAGAGATACAGTGAGAGGAGGGAGAAAGATAAACAGTGAGAGGAAGGAGAAAGATAAACAGTGAGAGGGGGAGAAAGAGCAAAAGGTGAGAGGGGGAGAAAGAGCAAAAGGTGAGAGGGGGAGAAAGAGCAAAAGGTGAGAGGGGGAGTGAGAAGAGGGGAAGAGGCAGAGAGAGAGAGAGAGAGAGAGCAAAAAGAGAAAAGCCAGAGTGAGTGAGAAAGAGCAAAAGGAGAAGTGAGAGAGATAAAGAAGGAGTGAAATGATAGGGAGAGATAGACAAAATCAAAAGAAGGGATAGAGAGAGATATCCATTTAACAAAGCTGTAATTCAATGCACCAAATCAAATTTTGAATGGAATATTTGGCAGTGAATTAAGAAAGATTTTCTCTGTATTTCAAAGTCAGTTTTAAATATCTAACAATTTATTTGCTCTATATCTGTTTGAGCAAAACATAAGACTACGAATGATCCATCCACTTTGGAATCAAATCATTGCCATTTACAGAGTTCTGATAGAAAAAAAGTCTCACAGGCAAAAAGCAAAAATGACATCTTTCAGGATTACCAGTGTTGGTTGACCAAACATAGAACTATGTATGTGCCCAAGGGTGATGTTATTAGAAACATGAACAGCTTTGGGGTTGTGATGATCCCTGATCCTGTTTCAACAATATCTCCAAAGACAGACACATTTCTGAATAAAAGGAAATGACTGGCACTACTATTTGATTTACTGAATGCAAAAAAAGAGACTAATCAATCCAAGACTAACATTTTTCGATTTCCAACTACAACCTATTTCCATATAGGAATGGCCACTACATTAAAAACATTTACATTTCTATCTATATGATAATCAAAACAGCTGTTTATACACCCCATGTTGAAACAAGAAAATTGTTGGACAACCATAAATAGACAAGAACTTCTTCATATGATTAAAACAAAGCAACAGTAGTAAAAAATGTGCACGTTAAAAGTCAATTAAACATTTCATATTTTGATGCTAAACAGCTGGTGACTAAAGAATGCATATTTGCAAGCTGTTTCATTGAAGCATACATTTTAAAACTGGCACTTATAACACTCATGTGTATTTTTCTTGTATAAAACATTTGAAAGAAATTATTTTTGTTTCAATTCTAGGAGCTCAGAGAAAACAAGCAAAAAAAATTATATTATTTATAATAAGGAAAAAAAACAAAACACACTTTAGCAACTTCTATTCTTAATGGAGACAGGGTATTGTGTTTTTCAATCAAAGTAAATTAAAAGGCAATTTAAATAATGGAATTTAACATTTTTCTCAAATGTATTTCACTGTCCAATCAAATGTTTGAGTGACAAGGTTCTTAAAATGGGGAAAGTATTTGTTGAATTTTACAATGAAACTCTTCAACTAAACTATTGCCAAATATTTTTTGCTTTGGCATTATTATTATTATTTTTTTTTTTACTTCAGTTGTTTCTTTGGTTTTCAAGAATTTAATTATTCTTCTTCCTCACATTTTTTTTTCATCATTATTTAACTGTAAAATATGTAAAAAAAAAAAATTCAATTTGCTGAGAATTAATGCAAAAATCAAGTTGCACTGAACAATCCTAAACATGATACAGTAGGAAACTAAAAAACATACTATAAATAAAATCTAAAACAATTTTCAGACAATTAAGCCTCATCTTCAGATACATAGTGATGACACCTAAAAGTGATTTCAGGTGACAAATTACATATCCAATCCAAATAGTAATAATCCTATCATCTGGTTTACACTCCTCTGCGGCCTTTTGAACAGGAATAGAGGTTTATCATTTGTTTCCTGTTTAAGAATGAGCTTCTGGTTCCTTCTAAAGGCTTTTCAATCTTTTTCACACCCAGTAAACACTTAGATCTTAGTGGCAATATCGCCTTGATTGGAGTGAGTTGATTAAAAACTAAAAATAAAGACTTTTCAGCTTTTATTCTAAAAGTGATCAATCTACAGGGTGTCCTTAAAGTCTGGACACATAGGAAATCTCAATAACTACATACTTTTTTTTACCTCCACAGATTAAACATGGTTTTGTTGAAAGTAGAAATAACAGACTTCTTTTTCTGGGGTATGCTAAAGGAGAAGGTGTATTCAATCAAAATCACAGATGCAACACACTTGATTGAACACATAAAGAGTGAATGTGCAAAATTGATGGCAATGTGGAATTATTGCATAGAATTCATGTGAATCTTGCAAAGTGCATCAACCTTTGCATCACAAATAATAGAAATCATACTGAAGATACTATTTGTTAATATTCTAATTCAATAAAATGTTGAAAATTTAATTTCTTTAAAATATGCCTATGTAACAAGACTTTTGGGACACCCTGTATAAAGAATATATCTAGGTATATCAATAAGTCCATAGCTTAATAATGAAGTGAGGGAATGTTACAACAGAATTTCTTTTATCAATGCACTTAATCCAATAATTCACCAATAATCACATAGACTGAACATTATACAGTAAAAATTTCAGACCAAAATTCAGTTAAGGTTATTGATTTTTTTATCAACCTTTACACGGTCAAGAAACTAAAACCTTGAGACTTGTTAATCAAACGAAATGCAAATTATCTTTTTTATCAACAAACATATTGGTAAAGAAATGTTATGCTATAATTTCTTTTTCTTAGTACATAAGCAAAGCAGTTGACCTATGTATCAATCAAGAGAGCCTTTTATCTCATTAACAGAGTTAAAGATACAATAGTAGTTAATTTAGCCATTTGAGCATGACAGAAACACTGGATATTTACAGTATTGTTCTAAGAACCGAAATGGACTGACAACTCTGAGTATGTCATAGAAAAGCCTGTTCTTGGCTGATGTGCTTAAGTGTGTGAATGAAGTTCCAACAATTTCCATTTGTAAATAACAATAAAGAGAAAAGTGTGACTACTTGCTTCTGCTTCAATGAAGAAAACAAAGATGGTTCCATGGTCAGTCGGCAATTGCATACTGGTAACTGAAATTCCATTGGGATGACCCTTGGTGGCTTCTGAGGAAAAAGGCATTTTAGCAAAGGTCCATCTACTTGGAGAAAAGTCAGGAACCAGTGAAGCAGTTCCAAGCTGCCATTCATTATTTATCAATCTGAAAGATGAAAAATGGATAGGTTGCGCTTTGTCTAAGTCCAGGAGGACATCACTTGTAAGCTCAGGTGACATTGAAGGGCATGGATATTATTGGAAAAGGTAAGAGTAACAAGAAAGGAAAGAGATGAGATTCATAGTAATATACAAGCAATAGATGAGAAGAAGAAAATGAGAGATACAGAGAAAGAGAAGACGAAATGGAGGAGAAATGAAGTAAAAAGAGGAAAGAAAAATGGAGGAGAAATGAAGTAAAAAAGAGGAAAGAAAAATGGTTAAAAGAAAAAGGGTTGAAAGGAGTAAAAAGAAAAAAAGAAAGACTGATAAAGGTGAAAGCTTTGAACATATACACACACAAACATACACAGACAGAAAAAGAAAAAAAAACTTTCAACATTCTGAATATCTATTTCAATATATTCAAGATTAAACATACAGGTAATATTGCTAAATTACAGTAAATGATCATATATACAGATCAATATGGACACAGGTCACAAAATAAAGGGGGTAGATCAATAGTGCTCAGATGCCATATTAATCCTCGGTATTAACATAGGCTTGTACACCCGTGTATATTTTTTATAAATATAGCAAATATCATCCTGCAATACATTATTTCATGGCTTTTGCACCTGTTGATGCAGAAAGAGCTGTAGGTGGACTAAATTAACAAGTCAAGTATTGTCCCATTATGTCTTAGACATGTTTAATCATGAAAAGACTGGGGAAGTTGTCAAACATCTTGCAGAACATTTTGAGTAGCACAGGTATCATTTAGGTTGTCATGAACCCAATTACAACTTTCTTGTTGCAGGAATGGCAGCAGTTCAGGCTGGGATCAGCATCCCCTCCATTGACACCAAGGACAAAAAAATAGTTTTAACTTATTGCACCTCACACCATGTCAGGGGTTGGGTTTGTGTGTTGTAAGTGAATACATTTTGGAAAATGTTGCCTCCCAGGTCTATTCCACACATGTAAATGACCATCACATGTACAGATCACCATTTGATTCACCAGGCGACTTTTGCAACAGCACTAAAGATATACATGATAGTATTGTGGCATAAATTGGAGTCCTGCTGAAAGTAGATGATTTTCAAGAGTCTGTATGGACATTTGTTGCCCCATATTTACTCTGATCAGTGGTGTGAAGTCTGACATTGCTGCCCTTACTAAGCAAGGGTCTATTGGTGTGGGAATGTTTGCTTGACTATTGTTGCTAAGATCAAAGCACTAATGACACGTTGAATCGAACATGTGGCAATTCTCTAAAATTACCTTCTTGCCTCTTGAAGGAACACAATCCAACTCCACACAAATGGCTCTAAATGAAAAGCAACATGTACTTCTGTAGAATGATGCCTACTTTCAATGAACTTTTCTACCATACTGAACCTTATTGCAGCATGTGACACTGTTTAAAGCTCAGACAAAAACAGCATACTGGTATGAGTTACTATATCACAGGATGGTTGAAGATTTGGAGAATTTTATTAGAATATCTACTACTTTTATAGTATATTTCAAATTAACAATTTTACATTGTTCATTATCTCACTTACATGCAAAGAGGTTGCAAGGGCAAGATGGAATCATATTAGGTTGGCTGAAGCAGTTTAAAACTGAAAGCATAAAAGGTTACTTTCTGGAAAATAAATATCTGTCATGTTGTTTAAGCAATAAAATAAAAAAATAAATATCCATTTTAGTTATCAAAATTTCATCCATGATAAGAGTGAAGTTATTAAAACCAATATATCTCTAACAAACAAGAATGAAAAGAAATTAATTTTTCCCTGCATCTATTTGGAAGCAAAATTGGTACCTGGGTTTCATATCTTTACGATTTACTTTTCTCTGACCTGATCTTCCAGGGTTTAAGATAATTTCAAGATTAAGGTTAGCAGAATGAAATGTTTCAAACAGAAATAAAATCTAATTTAGAGATCCAAATAATGGAATGTGTTTATATCAGGTAAAGGTGAATATAGAAAATTAACGAAATTTTTAATGGGGGGGGGGGAGAATGAAGTTCAGAAACTGAAGAAGAAAATATGATGGCGGATAAAATAGAATTTTTATTTTGAATAAAATTGGAAAATGAAAATAAAAAATTAACTGACAGGTAAAAATTATAAAACAGCAAAAGAAACAAAAAAAAAATGGGAAAAAGGAAAGAAAAGTGAGAGAGAGAGAAGAAGAAAACCCAAAGTGTGAAAAAAAAAAAAAAAAAAAACAAAAAAAAAAACCAAAGAAAAATGAAAAATGTTCAATTGTGAATAATATTAAATACATAATATCTAATGTGATGGATAAAGATATGTGGTAATGAAATGATGGCGAATTACGAATGAAATTAAGGCGAAATATACAAAAACTGATAAATGAAAAGAAAAAAAATATGTAAAAAGTAAGAAAGATTCACAAAAATTAAAAAGAAAAATTTACAACAAAAAGAAAATTGCCAGCAAATTTCTAAATACAAAATTTACAAAAAAATCTTTTGGTAGTTGTGATGGTGGAATTAGCAGCAGCAGCAGCAGCCAGAAATGATAGAACTGTTGTGTTTGCTGAATAGCATTTTTATTTTTGTGTTGATTTCAGATTCAAATAATCAATTCTCCTAACGAGAAACTTTTCCCATCACCACACATCCCAGATTCTTCCTTGTATTCATTCATTCATGAAAGTCAAGAATAAGTGTGTGTGTTCTTCTATATGATGAATTATATATAGTAATGCACATATAGATGCTTACAAGTCTGGTGAACATTCTATGTATAATGTAAAAATAAATTCTTTACCATTCTTTACAACAGGTCTTACCTGTGAATTTAGAATCATTTCATATTCTACACACAGGCTGTAAGAGTGTGTAACTGATTTTGTACCTGCATAGAAGCTTCTTTGGAGCATATGTATGCATCAGTAAATGCACGTTGGATGCTAATTTTACATGCATACAATATGTAGCCACGCATGCCCAAGTGATTTTGTTTTACATCACGCGTGAGAATTGTTAAGCACATGCAAGGCACGTTGATTTGGACAAGTATAAAAGCACTAAGCTGAGGTTTTTCAAGATCAGGTAAGGTCACAGGAGAAGGGCCAGTTGCAAAACAAAAATACATGAGAGAGTGAGGGGAGAGAAAGTGTGCTGAGGGGGAGATGGGAGGCTGAAGGTAGAGTGAAAGAGAGAGAGGGCATATGCCAGAGAGAATGAGAGCATGTACCAGACAGAAGACAGAGAGAATGTAGATACCAGAGAAAAAGTGCCACAAACAAGATGGAGAAACAGTGATATGTGCCAGAGAAAAGTGATAGTGATATTCCATATATGAGAGACAGATAGAGATAAGGCTGAGTGCCAGAGATAAGGCTGAGTGCCAGAGATAAGACAGTAATAAGCAAAAAAGGAGACAGTACACATGAGCAAGGAAAAAAAAAAGATTGTAGAGAAATGGCACTGAAGAATGTTTTTACTATTGTAACTATGAAATGTCAATCAAACAAGTCCCTGAAGAAGGTAAGAATAGGCATCAACATGAAGTTTGCTGAAAAGAAAAGCAGAGAGATGCAAGGAAAGAAAAAGATAGAATTAGATACATATAGAGAGTAGGTGTAGAAAGAGATAGAAGGAAAAAGAAAAAGAGAATTTGTCCTTTGAAGGATCAGACATTCCAGAAGATTTTATTTATTTTTTCTTTTTTTTCTTTTGTTCTCTTCCATTCAATCATTTGGAAATGATTTACGTCTTCTTTTTATCATTCTAATCCTGTAATCTTTTCTACCAGACTAGAACAACTTAAAGCTAAAAAATTTAAGTTATATGTCCATATAAATGCATGATATGTTTATTATGTACAAGCACACATACAGGTGTATAAATGTATCATGACTAGACATGAATTTATATTTGGTTATATTGAAACAAGTAGAGAGAAATATGCTGGCATTACATAATGTACAGATATTTACCAACACCAAAAATTACTTCCTCATAAAAATGATGTGCTTACATATTTACATAACCTCCCCAAAACGTTTTTTTTTCTTCATGTCAGTCTATCCTAATTCCTTTTCATCTTACCCTTTAACCTCTGCTTTCACACAACCCAATTTTTTCTTATGAAACCAGGCAATCTACCTTCATATACTTATTCTAATCTGTTTATTCACTTTCTGAGCTTTGTTATTCACTGTGTGTGTGTGTGTGTCTGAGAGAGAGAGAGAGAGGGAGAGAAAGAAAGAAAAGGAGAAAGAGAAGTGAGTAGAAGGAGGGAGGGGACAGAGAGGAGGAAGAAGAGAGGGGGATAAAAGGAGAGAGGAAGAGAAAAGGAAAGAAAGAGCTCGTTCACTTAACACAGAACAATTCTGAATGGAAAGATGAGAAATATATCAAGACATCTGGTAGATTCTAAATATGGCCCCCTCCTTCACTTCTTGTCATGCATCCCAAGACAGGCACAGCACCGAGCCCTGTCTGCTTGCATCTTCTATTGTCAACTCACTCAAAGAGTCTCCAGACAACATTTACATTCCTCTTATGGCCTTAGAATCTCTTTAAATTCCAATGAAACAAATCAGGAGAAAATCCCATGAGATGATAGCAACAAAACTCAATGGAATACTGCTTCTGTATAAGACTACAATTCTTCTTCATAAGCTACTGCTATCCTGGACAGCATATAAAGAAAGTCAAGTTGATGATATACTTAGCTGTAATCAATGATAATCAGCCACACAGTTTTTTACTATTATCCCTTTAGACTAACAGCTGTGATATTCAAGCAGATAGTCTTCTTGATCATTTTGTAAAAAAACAGGTCCATTTGTAACATATTCAGTAACATAACTAAGCAAAGAGCATAAGGCCAATGCATGTAATCTTGTCATCACAATTAGTACCAAACATGGATCACTAAACACAAGGGTCAAAGTATTGAAGCTTCCAAACTTTCAGAAATTTTATTTCTCCCTGTCATTGATTAAGGTATGCATGGTAGGGGCTATTATAACATTGTAGGAGGTAGATCAGTTTGTGACCCCCTCCAAAAAAAAGCAAGCAAAAAAAAAAAAAAAAGAAAGAAAGAAAAAATACTTGTCTTTTGTTCAAACCACAAAATTTGAAATTAAGAAAGCTTATATATTATTTGACAAAGATGCTTTGAAATTAGGAAACCACATTCCTTGTTTGACCTTTTTCTATCCTCCATCTGAATGAATGAAGTGTAAACTTATAACAAGAGTCGTCTTCTGTATAACTCATAGTCACTAAAAAAAGATTACAGGCTGGTCACAACCTTTTCATCATGACATTTGCTTTGACATAGTAGACTAAGTCCAAAGGAGTTCAAAGTTAAAGAAATTCTTATATTTTTTCTTTTAACTTTTAGTCAACAGCCTGCTCTTCAATTCTGAAATATCAGGTCCTCCCATACATAATGTTTAAATGTTGAGTAAAAAAAAAAAGAAAAGAAAAGAAAGAAAATGCTTAATTAAATTTATTTTTTATTAAAATGATTTCCATTATTAATAACTTCTGCCCAGCAATGATTGTAACATTTTTGTGAAAGTGTTTTGATTTAGAAAAAAAGGGGGGAAAAAAGAAAAGAAAGCAAGAAAAAAAGAAAAAAAAAAGAAAAATTATAGAGAGAGTAGTTTTTACCATTTGATATATTTTAAGAATTATTTCATCAGGATGATATTATAAACTTCAAAATAAGTGGTAATCAGATGGTCTGGGGAATAAAGAGACTTGATTTTTCTGATCATTTCTTTGATGGATAAAGCCATATATTATGACACACTTGCATTTTATCAAACTGAGTCTTTTCTTTCAAAGCAGTATTTAAATATTCTAACTGTTGACAATAGAGGTTTGCTTTAATCATAACATTAAGCAACAAAATGGATCACTAAACACCAAAACTTTCCTTGGAGCGAGGTTTATGTTGTTTCCACAAAGACATTTTTTTCATTGCTTTTATATTTTTGTAAAATATCCAAATTTTTATTGTTAGTCACTAAGTGAGCTAAAAATGAAAAGGCACATTGACAAGAGTACAGAGAAGTACAAATATCAACTCTTGGTTTATGGTTAGTTTCTATCAAATCATGAGGAAGCTATTTTCCAAGTTCAAGCACTTTTGTCAGTTGTTGCAGATGAAGAACTACTGAATAGCTTGAATTCAGTTTTTGAGTTAATTCATCAACTCACAAGATTATTTCTTTTATTGAGTTAAAATAAAAGCAGGTCATCATTAAAGTCAACAGCCAAACCTGTTCAAGGAGCATCTCTTAGGTTGTAGTCATCATTTCTAAACTTTTAAAATTATATTCAGCAGTTTCTTTCCTTTAAAGAATCTATCCTATAAACACTATATTTGGGTTTTTTCTGCAACAATTGTTGACTTATCTACAATTATTATTATTGCTGAAAGAGTCTATCAAGCTTTAGATAAGAATGGTGAAGCTTTATTGTTGCTTTGGATATCTCAAAATCATTTGACTGGGTTTGGCATATTGGTCTTCTTCACAAGTTGAAAGGTTATGACATTTCTGGACAAATTTTTGAACTGATTCAGTCTTTCTTATCAAACTGTAAAATGAAAGTGGATTTGAATGGCAACTCTTCTAGATCTTTTCTATTAATACATTTGATCTCCAGGGCTATATCCTAAGACCTACGTTATTCCTAGTTTTTATAAATGACCTTCCTGATGTCATCAGTTCTCAATTTGGTATCTATGCTGATGACCCAAGTATTTACTCCTGTCTTAATAGTAAGTCTAATCAGTTCAATAAGGTCAAATTGGCAGCTGATCTAAAAAATGACCTATAATCTGTTGTTAATTGGGGCAAGGAATGATATTTTTAATTTTAGCACTTCCAAAATGAAACTGTTCTCTTTTAATCATCTGAGAGAACCCTTTTTTACCTTCTATCAGTATGGCTGATGCTAACCAGGAGGGTGACATATTGTGCCTTCTCAGGCTAACATTTTCTGCTGACATGGAATAGAAATATTATATTGAATCACTATTTACATTATTCAGACTAAAGCCTGTCTCCCCTTTATATTTCTTTCTGCAGCTGCATAGGATAGAGTACACATAGTCTTTAGTCATGTTCTCTTCTATGGGGGGGGTCTTACTTGCAAGAGATATCTGCAAAGTGTCGTCTCGCTTTTGAAGGTTGTCCTGATGTTATATGGACCGCAGATCCTTTGCATTTTCTCTGATAACCCCTTAAGGTAAGGCTTCAAGAACACCAGAAAGCTGTAACACCTTGAGAAGTGGAAAAATCAGGCATGGCTGACCACATATGGAGAGAAAAGGGAGATCACCACCCTCTGTGGGATCAAGTTGAGATCATAGACAAAGAACATCATTGGAAAATTCGTAAACTTAAGGAATCAGCACATATGCTAGGCCACAAAAATCTCCTGAGCTGACCAAGCATAGAAATGAATACAATATGGGAACCAGTAATAAGGAGTGCCAGAGAAAAGCAGTAATAACAAAAAAAATTGCAATATGAGCTCTGGTAAAAAATTAAAAAAATGTAATGATAACAGCAAAAATTGCAATATGTGCACTGGTAAAAAATGGTAGCTGAAGACATTAGGTTTATAATACCCAGAAATTCATACACAAATGTCCTCAAGGACATATGGCACAGTGGATAAAGTCATTAGTTAGAACCAGGACTCAAAGAGTGTGAGTTCAAAACCTGGTTAAGGCAGTGGAGAACTTTCAGAGGGGAATTAACAGGAGATAACTGACATCCATTGGACATGGCATGTGGAACTAGAACAGTCTACCCCAGAAATAAAGGGTTCAGTTTGACATTCCAACCACCTGAAACATTGTGATAAACATGGCGACAAAGATGAGGACAATAGTCCAAATAATGTAAATAGTGCACATAATACCTCATTTCAGAAATATAGACAGATATATTGAATCAATTGCTAAATCTGCTGCTAGGAAAGTTGGTTCACTGTATTGTGCAAGACAATTTACTTGTCATAATCTATCTTACATATTTATGAGTCTACTACTTGTCCTTGCTTTGAATATTGTTGCCACATCTGGTCTGGTTCTCCTGTTCTATATTTAGAGATTCATGATAAAATTCCAAAGAAGAATCTGCAATATTATTGGTCCAGACCTAGCATCTTGGCTTCAGTTACTTTCCCACTGTTATAATGTAGTTTTCCTGTGTCTTTGCCAACTTTTCAGTACCCTCTCATAATAAATGAAATGGTACTTACTATTTTATTTTGAATATTTGTATAGAACTATGATAATATTATTACTTTCTTACTCTTATCAATTAAATACTGGAATTCTGTGTATTGCTTAAAGAGAACTAAAAATTGGCTGTTAAGTTGAAGTGCACATATACAAACTTCTTCACAGCTGG